ACAGAGACATATTTAGGAGACGCTCCAGACTTTGGTTTCCTTGGCAGTCGCACACCTCACCTCATTCTTCCTCCTCTAAAGCCCAGAAACAAAACTCCAAGTGATATGCATGTGGGCTGATCCATTTTCTGATCCACTAACTTGCATCCATTGTGTCCCCTGATCGATTGGCCACAGTAGATACACTGCCTCCATGTGTGTGACTAACTTGTACCCAGCTTTAGTTTCTCTTCTCTCTCATCATTTCTCTGTTTCCCTGACCACTGTTGCTATGATACAAAGTAGACCAACCAGCGCAGAGGGAGATGGTCTTCCATGCTATATGGTGGATGTTGTTCTCATGCCCACTAGTGTACTCTGCTGATCAGTGCCACGCACATCTGCCAGGGAATGGAGAGAGTAGATAGCTGTCTCCCCCCTCCGCTGCCCCTACGTTCCATTTGGCGTTCATTCAGCACGGCCAAGGCTTGTAAATGATTATGTCGTCTCTACACGTAACACTGAGAGGGCAATGGGCAAAAAACTCTCGTACTGTGACTGCGTGTGTGTGTGTGTAGTAGGTACAGCTCAGTAAGGGCAGAGGGATGGGTTTTATATGGATGTGGTACGGTGCCTGCTGATTGGCCCATGGGCCTTCTGTCTCATCCACAGTTCTTCAGGTCTTTTCACGCAACGGGACTCTCAATCTACGGTCTCCCCTTTGCCTCTGGCTACACTCCGCATGCTTGGCTGCACGCTTGTGTACGTGTGTCTGACTTTCAGTGCCGTATGCCTGAAAATGTGTTTCAGAGATGTATGACACTATTTGTGTGGTTCAGGTTTTCCGAAAGACTACGCGTTTTGAGTCTTGCTCAGCACCACTCCCTAGTGGAGACGGGGTTAAAGACTCCTCCTGTCCCTTGTTCAGTTTCACTTTGCTGAGGAGGAATCACAAGAATCCATTAAGAATAATGAAACTGATGTCTGCGGCATCATTTCAGTGCTGTAAGTCGTTTGAGCTCTTAAGTTGCTGACGAACTGCGTGTCACCCATAACAACACATACAGCGGTTGTGACATCAGTACTGAGACTAACAACCAGGAGATGTTTATAAACAAATGTCAAACACACTGAGTAAAGAATAAAGATTTCAATAACCCATGAGTTGAGATAATATTGCCATGGTGATTTTGATCATCCCCTAAATAATTCATAAATGAATAAGTATGTGTGACCATAATGACCCCAAGAGTTTAGTTGAGGGAGTAAAAATATAAACTAGATTCATACATGATATGACCTAAAACTGACACACACACACACGCGCGCGCGCACACATTCAACCAATGCAGCCCGATTCTCACCTTCACTGCCTTAGCAACCAGAAGCACACATCAACACACAATTAACACAAACATAAACACGCACACACACACGCACGCCAATATTGGACTGTGACTAAATAAATGCACAGCACACAGTGTGGGAGGTTGCGTGCCAGTCAGGAAAGGAAACACACGATTCAACGGTCTATCTTGTGCTTAAAGAGAAATATAGACAGATAAACACACGCGCGCGCGCGCACGCACGGAGAGCATCTGAATTCCTTCAGCGTGAACCTCTCTCATCCTCTCTCTCATCCTCTCTCATCCTCTCTCTCGTCCCCATCCCTTTTATGCTAAACGCTTCAGAAGCACTCATAAACCAGCTACTCGGGGGAAACGCTGGCGAGCATCGGACGGTGAAAAACTACCCATCCCGACTCACTCAGAGCCAACCGACAGGACAACTCTCCTCCCGTTATTTATCTGCTGTCGGTTAACCGTGCTCCACACAGTCGCTGGTTCAGCAGCAGCAGCGTCCGTGTTTTCGGGACGGGCTAGAAGAAAGGGAAAGCCCTGCCGTTATCTCTCTGCCCCTCTATGCCTCCGTCCCTTCATTGCCTCGTCTGAACCCCGAAGAGCGGGACTCTGCCACCACGAATAAAAACCGTTATTTCTCTCTTACCTTCCGGCTTGTTTTCGGCAGCCATTTCCCCTTCGCGCCGCGCGCCTCATCCCTCTCCTCTCCTCCTCTTTTCTCTCCCTCCTCGCTCGACCTAGTGGTGGTGGGAGGTGGTGGGGCGGTGGGGGACACGCGCTGTCACAGAGAGGACACTCAAGGAGGGGGGCGGGGCTGAGAAGAAGGTTGGTGGGGCGACCTGCCGCGTCCAGCGAACACTAATTGGACAGGACAGTGAAGATTGACAGCGGGATCCGTGATTGGTACTCGCGGAACTCTCCATCCCCTCGTTTTATCCGCCTGGCCCCCCACCCTGACGTGACACGCGCACGTTCTCGCTCTATCTCCCCCTCTCACGTCAACTTGAACGACGTTGTATTTCGGAGGACAGCCTGACAGCCTTCCCACAGCATCATCATCATGCTCATCATGTTCTCTCTCTCTCTCTCTCTTCACACACTTACACGCGGCGCAACAACGTAGGCTACACACACATATTCGTTACTGTCACCCATGGGGCCAAATTGCGCGAGTCAGTTTCTTTCCCAACGCAAACCGGTGGACTGTTGAGGAGAAGCGATGTCAAGGTCGGGTCCACCATAAATTATGAACGCCCTCTTGAATCCCAGTGTAAGAAGTGGCCAGAGAGAGATGTTTTAGGTATTTGTTAGGTTATTTTTAGACGGGCTCAGCGGCTGCTGGTCAGTGCGTTGTGGTGTGAAGAGTCGAGGTGGTGAAAGGACAGCTCCGCAACGGCGCTCACAGGGCTGTGAGCGGCTCACTATATACTTTCTGTGAGCCGTGTTATGAATTGGAAGTGATGACCAGCTCAGGTGAAAACTTACAGGTGAAATGAAAAACATACCCCCCCCCCCCCCCCATTTGCTGTTGCCTGTTTTGGCTCCAGCAGGAAATCGGTGTATTCTGGTTGTAATACCCCCATAGGAAGTAGAATTCACCGTGAACCTATCACAATATTCTCACTGATACCACCGTTTTATTGAAGTCTATCGTTTTAAATAGTGGGGCTTAACTGGGACCATTGTGCTCTTGTTTGAAACCCACACTGTCACGCTGTGCCTCGGGCTAGGATGTCGCCTTTGCACCAACGCCTCCTGTTTTGACAGACAATCCGTGGACACGCTTTATGAAAATCCGAGGTTTTGAATGGTTCGTCCTCAGCTACGTATGATTTGCGTAACCTCTAAGTGCAGAGGCACACACGGTTCTTGGCACCGACAGAGTTCAAGCAGGATGAATGACAATGAGGAACGTGTACTGTATAAGATAATGTTGCCAAAAAATAGATATGTTTAATTCAAACATTCAAAACCGTGCGCCTTTTTCCCGATGGGGGGAAAGATGCTGCAAAGACGTGCAACAAAATAATTCTCATTTCATATAAACAGCAACGCTGTAGCCTGCAACTACTGCTCAGTGCTGAGGTTGGCAGATCTAACTTTTACATGGAAACTATAATATATATGAACAAAAACATGGAAGTAAACTCTTATTTTGAGAGGTGGTATAGTGGGAGTGAGTACATTTACTGATGTTTGGAGTTATTTATACTAAAATATTTGGAACAGAGTCTTAATCATAAAAACACACTATTGTACTTCCTACTCCACTACCTTCATCTGACATCTATAATAGTTAGTTGGTACTTGTCAGATTGAAGATTAGATTATTTTAATTTAGAGGAGAGGATGGGCTTCTAAGAATAAAACACATTTTTATAGATCAAGCTACTTAACAGTATTTGCGTTTTATTTGTGTTTCCACCATAGCACCAATTAAAATTCAAGCTTAAATCACATGCTGATGCATCACAATGATCCAATAATAAGATGGTGGTGGAAGATCTTTCACTCAATACTAAAGTACTAAAAAATAGATTCAAAAAGTACAAGTCAGTGTTGTATTATCATTTATTATAATATTGTACTATTATTACGCATGCATGCATTAACATATGATGGTGTAGCTAGTCCTGACTACTACTTTGACTTTGACTTTAAGACTTTAGTAGGTTAAATGGAGTATGTTTGCTATTGTGTGATATTGCTACTTGTACTTATGTAACGTTAGGTAACAGATCTATAGATACTTCTTCCATCTCTGCAACAACTGACAAAAGTGAGAGAAAATGAACTGAAGACAGGAAACAAGGCTGGATTATAAACTATCCTAACTGGGTAACTGCCCGAACAGCTTCACATTGTGGCAATTAATTAGTGGTAATTTCTTCTCTTTAAAATCAGCAATTTTGTGAAAATGGATTATTAAAGCACAATGGTGTCCTAATAACTACCTATAAGTGTCAAAATCTAGTTTTAACACCGCCATTGATAGGGTTTCAATATTCCATATTACTAAATGAATGTATGTTTAATCAAAGTTAATAGGCTTTTAATATTCAATATTCTTGAATTTCATATTCCATATTCCTAAATTAATTTATGTTTAATCAAAGTACCTCACAGCAAATCTAGGGCCACCTAACAGGGCAGAAACAGGGCGTTAATGGGCCCCCAGGAGCCTCAAGCAGATTAAACAGGTTATAGTTTCCACCAGGTCAGACATGTAAGATTATAAAAGAAAATAAATCGTCATTATAACTTAGACTTTGATATAACATTGTTAATAGTGATACTATATTATCGTTAGTTACACTGGTCTCAGCTGATTTACATGAACATTAACGGTTAACGGTGTTAACGGTTGGACGAGACGACTAACAAAAGAAAGTAAACACGCAATGACGGATGTTGTTGTGTTTACAAACCAACAAACAAAATACCTGCTGAAAGGGTAAAACACTTCTCACAGTCGTTTTTCTTCATATATGGAGGCGTCAGCTCTCTCTCTCTCTCTCTCTCTCCCCCCCTCTCTCTCTCTCCCTCCCTCTGTCTCCCCCCCCTCTCTCCCTCTCTCCCTCCCCTCTCCCTCTCCCTCAAACGCAACAACCAGCAGAGGGCGACACCACAACTTCCGCTCCCGGTGTGGTGAACCAATGATCTTCCAGAGCTGTGGACGGTGGGCGGAACCGGACCAAACGCAAACATGGCGGCGTCCTTAGATGATGATTTTGAGTTTAATAACCAGGACTACTACTCTCTGCTCAACGTCAGGAAAGAGGTACGCTTTATTCGGTTTTACACTGACGCAGAATGGTGGCGGACGATTCGCCGTGACTATCCGGTAGATTCCCATTGAGGAAGTGCTCTGCAGTCGGTGCATCACCCCTCAGTTGAATAACGGTGATGTTCATCTGCACCATCCTCCGTGGAGGTGGAGACCGGTTAACGGTGCAGGGGCATGAACAACCAGGACACCTAGATACTTCACCTGAATGCATGCAGTGTTTAACACTTTATTCTGACTGCACTGATGAGCACCTTCTCAAATCTCAGCTTTCATTGAACAGGGGAGACTTGAGAGGCCTGACTGGTTCAACTGGGTAACGTCAGGTCCCATTAGGTAGTTACTGACAATATAGCCTAACAGGAAGTACGTTATCACACCAGTAATTCCCTTTAATCCATTTAATGTCACTGCACTGGTAGCTGTTTTTCCATTGCTTTAAAAAAAGATAGGATGCTATAATGCATCAGTGTTGTGTGAGCACTCAGGAGTGGAGCTGAAATGATATGTCGATTAACTGATTAGTCAACTGAGTGAAAATCAGTCTGCAACCGTTTTAATAATCAGCTATTTTCAAGCTGAAATGCAACCAAATGGTTGGCTGGTTCCAGCCTCTTAAATGTGAAGATTTTCTGCTTTAATGTGTCTGTTGTTTGGACAGGAATGACCAATTTGAAGAACTCACCTTTTCTGTCTTTTACAGACCAAATACTAAATAGATTAATCAAAGTATTTGGCAGATGAATCAATAATTGAATGAATTGTTAGTTGCAGCCCCTGCTCAGGAGTGAGACCTGTCCTCTCTCTCTTGTCACAGGCTACATTGGAGGAGCTAAAGGCGTCATATCGGAGGCTGTGTATGCTCTACCACCCTGACAAACATCGAGACCCCGAGCTCAAAGGCCAGGCTGAACAGCTCTTCAACCAGGTGCACCAGGCATATGAAGGTGAGGACGCTTGCAGGTCTATACACCGAATGGAAATAAGACCATTTACTTGAACATTTTTATTGCCGTTCAACTGAAAAATTGATTGTATTAAATCGGACCAGGGCAGGGAAACAGACAAAAAACCATATATAAACTGAACTGTTATTTCCCTCAGTGCTAAGTGATGCTCACTCCAGAGCCATCTATGACATCTTTGGGAAGAAAGGGCTGGAGGTGGAAGGCTGGGAGGTATTTATTCTGCCTAACATAACCTTTTTGTCTTAAGGTTGAGTGGTTTTGCTGTTACATTATACATACAGTATAAACGTGTCTTCACTACCAATATTTGATGCTGTTGATGCTGTGTAGGTGGTGGAGAGGAAGAGAACTCCAGCAGAAATTCGAGAGGAGTACGAAAGGCTGCAGAGAGAACGAGAAGAGAGGAGACTGCAGCAAAGAACTAACCCCAAGGTTTCCTCACTCACAATTACACCACATTCCTTTGTCAACTTTTTTAAAACATATTTATTTAACCTTTATTTAGACAGGTAATTGAGAAACAGGGTCTCATTCTCAAGAGAGACCTTGTCTAGATGACAGCAGTAATACAACACAAAGTTACAGACAGGATATTACATACAGAGACAAAACAGAGTACAGAGTGCAGAAGTAGTAGTCCAATTTCTAATACTGTACAAGAACAAACCCCCGCAGATGTTCTCTCCAGATTTTGTAAAAGTAGTTTAAAATCCCTGAGGGGAATAATGCTGGACAGCTTCAGTTCCTGCTGTAGCGTGTTCCAGGTTGGGGGTGCAGAGTAGGAGGAGGTCCTTTCTTAACAAACTCTATACAGACTGAGGGGATGGAGAGAATGATGAAGCCCTGGGAGTGCAGGCTATAGCAGCACTGATTATGTTGACATCTAAAATTGTTAAAGAAATATGATTTATAATTGAAGTTATACCAGTGCAAAGTTCTGCACATGGATAATGTTGACCAGTTAAAATACATAGTAGTTGTGTGTGAGGGGTTTACAACGGATTATGCGTCTCGGAGGACCGTGAGGAGAGACGAGAAAGTGGCAGCAACGATATACAATAGTATAATCGACATAAATATGTACAGATGCATTGATAATTTGACCCACAGGATTTGCATTAATAGTGAAAAAGATTGGTCCTAAAACTGAACCTTGTGGCACACCTTTGATTACACTATAAAGCTGGAGGAAAGAATACTAAACTGCACACGCTGCTTACGGTTACAACTAACCAACAGCTTGGTCTGAGAGGCATATATCTGATAATCTCAAACCCAATAAAAAGGGTAGCGCAATAGTTATTGGCTCCAAGGCTCCCACAATATCATTTACTACCTTCATGGCAGCAGTTACGATAATGTGCTGCTTCTTAAAATCAGACTGGTGAGCAGGAAAAGTGTTGTTAACGCACATGTATATCTTGGTCTGTTCTTTCACCAGCCTTTCAGGGATAATAGAGAGCTTGGAAATGGGTCTGTAGTTATTCAACACTGTGGAATCACCACCTTGGAATAAAGGGGAGAACATAGGCAGTTTTTCAAGCATCACAAATTACATTGTTTTGTATAAAATGATTATAAATGAACAACACTGGATTAGTCATAATATCTGTAGCCAAGCGTAAGAAGAAAAGGGCCCGCCTATTTTCTAGGGTCTATGTCCTTTAAGGCCTTATAAACTTCCCTAACAGAGAAGGGGTTGAAGGAGAAAGTGTGGCTATTGGAGGCATGATTGGCAGGCAGAGGGGAGGAAGTGGGTGATTTGCTGTCAGATAATGTCCCAAACAAATAGCTGGATGCTATAAAAATGTTTGTTGAAACAATTAAGCATCTCAGATTTATTTGACACAGGGATGAAATCAACAACATTATTATAATATAATATCATAATATTATCATAATATTCTGAGGCGGCTCTGAGGAGCAAGAGTTGGCAGAAAGAGATTTTATGGTTTGCCAAAATCTCCTCGGGTCATTTAGACTGTCTGTAGTTTGTGATAAATAATAATCGCTTTTAGCCTTTTTGATGGAAGCGGTGCAGCGATTACGTAGTTGACAGCCTCAAAGCCAGATTTCATCATGTCGGCCCAAAGCTGATTCCTCTTGTGTAAGAGGTGACGTGAACCAGGGGCTTTCACGGTCCTGAACAATAGCAGCAGGTTTGTTTATAAAAAAAACTTTCATAAAAATATTTCTAAGCAAGGTCGACATTACCAAACCAATTATATGGTCCCATTTAAAACAAAATTAATCATGAAGGAAAGCTTGCTCAATAAAGTGCTTACATTTTCTTTTCTGAACAAGGCTTAGTATGGGATTCTGGTGCCCCTAATAGCACCAACCACACAGTGATCACTTAGATCATTAGCAGAGACCTTGTTGTAGAATATTTATGCAGAATATTGGTAATTAAAAGATGAATAAGAGATGATTTGTCTAAACATCTAGGGTTAGGATGTGTGGGGCTTTCACTGGTGAGATTAAAAGACAAACATTGAGCTTTAAAATCATCAGACACTAGTGAAAGCCAATTCAAATGACCTACCAAGAATGTAATTGAGATAAGAGATCATAACGTGTCAATAGTAACAGTTAAATACTGACCACCAGACAAATCAATACTTAGAGCTAAGATTTCAAACATCTTAATATCAGATTTCAAGAGCAAGACTAACTCACTGTATTTCTTGTGTGGATCACCACTTCTATGCATTAGATTATGAAATACATTGTGTACCACAAATCAGTTTTGACTGTGGGTGGTTTCCACGTTCTTTTCATTGTGTCCCTCACCCTTTTCTTTTTTTTCTTAATTAATTCTGTCAATCACTTCACTTACTCCCTCATTATTCAGGGCACCATCAGTGTGGGTGTGGATGCAACGGACCTGTTTGACCGCTATGATGAGGACTTTGAAGAGATGCCAGGAGGAGGGTTTCCTCATATTGAAATCAACAAGATGCACATTTCCCAGTCCATAGAGGTACAAGAAAACACACACTCACTTAGCATTTACCTTCCACACAGCTGCCTACCTGTGCCAGGGTCACTCTATTATTCTCTGTTTTATCAGGCACAACTTTCATATCTTTCTTCAGGCTCCTTTGACAAACTCTGACACAGCGGTTTTGTCTGGTTCGCTCTCTACACACAATGGGAATGGAGGGGGCAACATTAACATGACCGTACGAAGGGTTACGTCAGCCAAGGGCTGGGGAGAGGTACGCACACACACACACACACACACACACACAAAGACTACAAAGTGCATGCAATTTATAAAGCACAATTATAAACTACAGCCTACAGAGGCAGTCATTTTGGCACAGACCTGCCCATCTGCAATCACTTGTCTGTGTATTTGTCTCTACAGCTGGAGTTTGGTGCAGGAGACATACTTGGACCTCTCCTTGGATTAAAGGTGTTTCGCAACGTCACTCCGCGATGGTAAGGCCGGGCTGTTTGATATGTACATACATACTATGTCAACATATGAACAGCATTCTCCATCTCTTGAATGTTCTTTATTTTTATCTCCTCTCTTTTTCTCAGTTTCTTGACAGCCCAGTGCGGTTTGCAGTTCTCTCCTCGAGGTTTGCGGCCCAGCTGTTCTCTGATGACGGCACGCCACCTGGACCAGAACACCATGGGTTATCTGCAGTGGCGCTGGGGGCCCAACAGCGCCATGACCACCAGCCTGGTCCGAGACACAAAGAGCAGCCACTTTACTTTAGCTCTGCAGGTAAAGACAACACAAGCTCAAGCCTGCTGTTAATATAGGCAATATGGTTTGTACTGTAACTGAAATCTGATTTACCTAAAACCTGAGATTTGCTATTTATTATCTGTATACTAAATTACTAAATTATCTCCCAATCCCACCTCTTCCAGCTGGGTGTGCCTCACTCCTACCTGATGATGAGCTACCAGTACAAATTCCAGGATGAAGACCAGACTAAAGTTAAAGGCTCTGTGAAGTACGTCTGTCTGCTTATCCTGTTTCAAAGGACTTATACCCTGTGAATATAAACTGGTTTATCACACAGATGCTGTGCAAAAATACAGCTATAAAATAAAAATTTCTGTTTATTAGTTGCAGAAATTTCCTTCCTGAGGAACACTGGAAACACTGGCTTTCTGCCTGGTATTAAGTTATTCTTTAAGAGACTGGAAGGATTTGAAGTGGTTTTTAATTAAATTTTCTTGTTATTGCAAGAGAATTGTAACATTATTGTTACATAACAAGATTTTTTCTCTTGACATCGTGAAAAAATGTTTTGTAATTACATGAAAGAAGGTTGTCTTTTCAATTCCTAGTTATGTCAAGATCATAAACATACTATTGTGTGATCATTTGTGTACAACAATGTTTTTTTTAGCTTTATGGCCTGAGATATCAGACACCCCGTATAAACTTATTAAATTTAATTATGTGACCTGAAAATCACGTATTTCATTAACATGGGGGTGCGCTTTAAACATGTCATTTAAAATGTTTTTAACTTCTTCTTAAGCCCACTGTGTAACTATTGGCAGAAATTGAATATAATATGCCTAGTTATGTTTTCATTAGTGCATAATCACCTGAAAATAGGAGTTTTTGTTACCTTAGAGAGCAATGTCTACAGATGCCACAGGTCACCTTCCACACAGGCCGCTATGTTTAAGTGCCATGTTTCTACTGTAGCCAAGAATGGACAAACCAAACACTGGCTCTAGATTGGGGCGTTTGTGTTTTCTGCGCATTTTGCAGCCACTGTAGTCTCTCCTCCACGCTTGGAAGGGGAGGGTATAGCGAGGGAGTTAAAATCTGCAACTACACCTCTAGACGCCATTAAATCCTACATACTGGTCCCTTAACATTTCAGACAACAATAATAGTTTATTTATAGAGCACATTTTCAAGAAAAAAACACAAAGTACTTTCCAGGGTAGAGACGATGACAAGACATATGCAGCATTAACAGAGCTGCAGGAGATAAAGCTGTAATTTACTCTGTCCCACTGTAGCTGTCTAACTCTAATGGTCTCTGCTCATTTCTGTGCTCCTCCCTTTGCAGGACAGGCTGGTTTGGTACTGTAGTGGAATATGGAGCTGAGAGGAAGATCAGCCGACACAGTGTCCTGTCAGCCACTGTCAGCATCGGGGTCCCTCAGGGAGTCACACTCAAGATCAAGTACTGGCCAACCCAAAATATGATCTCACTCTTCTCTGGGCCCTTATCTCCCTGCATAATTATCTGATGTATGTCTGTGTGTGTCTGTGTGTGTGTGTGTGTGTGTGTGTCTGTGTCTGTGTGTGTGTATTTCTGCTGGTGTTTCCATGCAGGTTGGCGCGTGCCAGTCAAACATACCTGTTTCCAGTCCACCTGACAGATCAGCTGCTGCCCAGTGCCGTCTTCTACGCCACTGTGGGACCCCTGCTGCTTTACATGGCCATCCACAGACTGGTCATCATCCCATATACACAAGCACAGAAAGAGCAGTTAGTACACCTCCCATCCTCATAACCTCACATGTTAATCTGTTCATTATAACATAATGATGAATATAGTTTGATTGGGAAACGTCATATCCATCAGAAGGCACCTACACGGGCCTGACTTGGGCAGAAATGCAACATTTTGGTCATGGTTGTTACTGGGTTACTGGTTGTATACTATCAGGGTTTCTTTCACACTTACACTGTCATCATAGAGAGCCTCCGCAGTGAATCCCAGTGGGTGATTGTTGATGTCTGCTCTGTGTGTCTCTGTGCTTTTCAGAGAGCTGGAGCTGCAGAGGAAGAGCTCTGCCACAGACATTGCCAAGAAGAAGCAGGAGGCTGAGTCTGCTGTGAGTACTCGCACTCACATGCAAACACACAATGATCCGTTGTGTGTGGGGGACCATT